GGGGTGGGATGGGTGGGAAGGTGAGATCGTTACATGGACTGAAGCAGCTGCCAGAGGCGCCTGATAATGCTGACGTCCGATCTCAACCTTATCATTGTAACTAGACACGTTTGTTGTTTAGAGTGCTTAACACTTTCTTTCTTCTTTCTTTCTTTCTTTTCTTAAATTCAGCTTTGGTTAAAGCTGTAGCCTGGCTTTAGCGTCAGTAAATTAAAAAAAACATACTTGCATTCGTTACCTTGTACATTAAGATTGATTTCCTCCAATATCGTATCATGGAGCCTCGGAAGAAACTTTTCACAGAGGTATCGACCAGCATCTTGTAAACTTACATTTCTTAGTTTAAAATAAACGTAAGTTTCGTTCACTGAGAAGTCATCAACAGGACAGGGTGTACTGGGGATTTCAGTAACTTGATAGCAACTGAACTTTTTGTCTACTCTGTCCTTTCCAATAATGAGAATGGCTACGTTATTTTTGGAGAGTGTGTACTTGGCACGGCCAACAATTCGGTCCTGTATTAATCTTGTAAACGATAGGTCAAAATCCTCCATTATGTAGGCTGACTCTTTAAAAAAAAAAGGTAGAATTTCAGTTTTTCAGGTTACATTTCATCATTCATACACAAATAGGGTTAAGCCTTAAGCCGGGCAAGTCTTGCTCAAGGATATCACTGAGTTACTTTGCCTTACCATTACGGATGATCGAGCTGCCATGTTGAACCACGTATGAGGGTCCTGTGGTAACAATCACAGAATGCTTGAGTGGCATCTAACTCAAGCCAAGCTCAACATTCACTCCATACAACGCCTGATCTTGAATAGCAAAGTTTTTAAGAGTGAATGTTAGTCTGTATTTGGAGTAGCTCCAACCCATTTTGCTATCATATCCGTCTCGCACCTCAAAATTTCCACCACTGTCTACAACAACAAGCTTCTTGGTCATGAAGTTCCCATTATGTATTGATTTATAGATGCCAAAGGCGATTTCGTGCACATCAGGGGCACCAAATGGGCCGGCAGGATTGCCTCCCGAATCGTTGTATAAAAAGCTCCAGCCTAAAGTGACATCCTTGTCCACTGTGGCCTTCATCGGACTCTTTGGTTTGTCATTTGTAAAGTTTATACTGCAAGACACTATTAAAATCAAAGAAGTACAAAAAGTGTAAAACCAATTAATCAAGAGATCAATCGCTTGAAATGTAATATTTTTTTACAGTTCAAAAACTTCAATTCAATCCATATATTTCAAAACAATTTTGACGAAGAAAAGACTAATATTTTTAATAAACATTTTTTCAACTTATTCTCAGCTTAAATGATTTACAATTTAATGCCCGGCCCCTATGACTCGCTAATCGTGTTATCTCTTTTCCATCATCAACAATTCCCTTCAGTCCCAAACCAGCAAACTGATTTCAATGCTTTTCGTTTACAAGACAAATTTCAAATTTCCAAGGTGATCCATTATGTCGCGAATTAGCACCGTTAAAGTGCATCGTGTTTGGCCATCAAAATCCTCATGTCGATGCATTTAAATTCATGTACGTAGTCGTTCTCTGCTTGTTTTTTTTTTAAGTAATTGTAGATCGATAAATTTGCCACCGTCGTATGTCGAGGTTTTCATTCCAGAGAAATTCATCCACCACTGTCTCATCACAGAGTTTTGGTGTGAATACCCTTACTAAAAGGTGAAAATTTTTGACTCATCCATAAAAAAATTTCAAATTTATCGATGGTTCTGATTGAAATGATTTCCTCATGTTATATTCGGGACTTTGGACAAGCCGAGACAGTACATGTTGGTGACGAGAGTGTTGAAACAGAACATTTAATGAGTAAAAAAGCTAGTGCGTTTAAATCTTTGTACATTTCTTAGCCTACGATTATCAGCCGTTGTTCGAGAATGAGCCTTCGCTCATCGAAGAAAAAAAACTCGAGGAAAAATCGGAAATCGAGGTATATACCATGAAGTATAAATCAAAATAACCAATATTTGTGTGGTCTGAGTAAGGGAACCTCAACAGCGAATTAAATATTTTCGGAGCTCTAAGTTGCCAAACGTTACGCTCGAATTGAGGTCTGGCGCCGTTAGAGACGGGAAACCCTTCCAACCATTCGCCAAATTCCTTAGAAAGCATAAAATTATTTTTTTCCTTAACGTTTTCCTCGGTCCTGCTTTGCTCACTGCCTTTCATCTGGGGTTGCTACAGTCTTGCTCGCAGTCGTTCTCTGGGATGTCAAGCAGCTTTGCGTCAATTCAAGTTACTCGTATGATATTTTCGAGAAAAGCCGGAAACTCTTGAATAGTTATACGGATTAATTCAATGGCCGTGGAAGCCTTTAGAAAATTTCCTCGAACTCAATAGTGTACGATTAGTCATTTCAGACAGTTCTAACAGTTTTATAGTGAGTTGTTAATGCAACGCTTCGTACCACACTTTGTTGGTAAAGGCATGATATATAGTACGTCGCAGCAAAACTTTCCGGTTTCGCTATCCAATTTCAAAACATTGGGAGATTATGATTCTCTCTATCTTATTGCCATTATAATCTACACGTATATGCTATCAGCATTAAACTTACCTTGAAGCAATGTTACCATGCATAAACTTCCGAAGAAAAGCTGGTGCAAACATAGATCCATGTCAGCCACTTTGAGTCAATGCAGCCACATGAAAAGTATGCCAAGTAAGCGTTTTCTAAAATTCCGGCCGTGAGAACAATCACGACCGTGACAATGCTTTTTTTCGGAATTTCCGTGAATGCCCTGAAGTGACTGAAAGCCCGGCGGCCATAGCCTTCACTGGACGGTTACTCTAAGCCTTTTAAGAGTATCAGATGTTTGTTTACAAATGTCAAATGATTCGAAGAATTGTGTTAATATCATACTAAACGAAATAACCGTACCTCAGCGTACTGTGAGATCACTCTTTTCAGGCAGGTTCTTGACGCCGCAAAAAAGTTGAATCAACTGAATTGAGAACCGTGAACCTAGCGCTTTTTTTTTAGTATTCAAAAGCTCGGAAAATCCGCTCCTATAACTAATTCTTAGAATCGCTTGAAGTTTCGGCGCAAACAAGAAACGCTCTCAAGTGGTTTGCATGAGGTTTTCTGCGGAAATTTCCGATTTTATAGCATGCACTATTCGGATATTTCGTCTACTAAAAGACGAGAATAATTTTTAAATTCGTTTGAGATTGCCAGACGAGATTCGTAGAAAATTTTTGACTGCCGTGTTACTCTTACAAGAATGCGAATGACTTTTAGGCCTTTAAACTGACGCGCCAACTAATGAAATTCCGAAAAGTGTCTTCTTCATAGCACATCCTGTCTACCTGTGATTGTCAAGAAACAGGAGCTTGATTTAGATGGAGACTAAACAAAGTTCTTAAAACTCATTTGGGCGTCTCTTCAGCGAAATTTAATGGGTTTTTGGTAAGGCTTCACATATTTCAATGATTCACACATCTACAGGAGGGTCTCAATGGGGTTAACCGTCAACCGTCAAATGGCCAATATTAACCGTAAACCGTCAAACAATAATAAATAAGCCAATGCTGGTCGTCAAATGTCTCAAATATCCTTAATTAAAAGCTAAACGATTGCCTTAATTGGGGTCAAGTTCTGTTGTTTATAAATAAAAGTGTTGATATATCACAAAAATAGATTTATATAAGTCCTTCAACTTATAGTCGTGAGTAAAACAGGTTAGCGACAGAACTGACTTACGGTGTGGAAACACTTCCAGTGTCGTAAAACGTTAGTCATTCACCATTAATAAAAGGTGTTATAAATTAACAGTTCTTTACAAACGCGGCCAAATTCGCGCATTTAATTCGTTTTATAAACGATATTCCAAAATATTAACCATCAACCGTCCAATTACCTAAACAGTTTAACTGTCAACCGTCAAAAGGGCTTATTTTTAACCGCCAACCTTCAACGTGACTCCCTCCCCCCCACTGAGACCCTCCTACATGTAAATGCTTGAGCATTCTTCCGAAACCGTTTCGACTCCTATGCTGTGTTTATGCCAAAAACGGAAAGCAAACCAAACTGGATGAAAATTTATCTTAGTTAGCAATGCTTAATTAAAATGCAGAGTATCATTTGTTGTCCATGATCGGGCCAAATCATAATGAAATTCAACCTGCATGTAACTTTCTTTATTCCTTTAAGTTCGAAGGCACATTCCGCGTTTTCGACTGATCGTTCGTTGAAAAGACAGCTCGGCCTTAGGCTAGATGGTGGCAGTTGTGGAGTGTGATGCTTGTATGTCAATGTGCTGCTCATAACGGATATTCCTTTTGCAGTGGCGCCCACGCAAGCCAAAGACGACCACTACAGCTATTACAGAAACTGATACAGCTATGACTACTGGAAATAACCATACAGGGCTTCCATCAGAAGATGTTCGCGTTGCAATATGAGGAACTGGAAAAAAAGTTGAAAAGCACTTTAACAGGAAGAATAATTATCATCATCGTCATCATCGTCACCATCGTCACCATCGTCATCATCTTCATAATTTATTAGCCACTTCAGAAATGATATTAACACAAATTCAACAGTATGGCAGGGCGAGCGAGAAGACCTTAAAGAAAGTAGGCTAGGCCAGGGGAAGCCACCTCGGTTATGAATAGTCCTGTAATTAAATTGTGGATGTATGGCTTGGCCAATACAAACTGATTTCATTAAAAATTTAAACACATTTTTATGAGTAGGGAAGCTAATCGAACCAGCGATCGATATTAGGATCTTGGAAGAGTAAAGTAAACTGCTTAAGATCATGAGTACGACAATGATGTGGTTGATAACATGACTGGCGCGAAAGACATCCTTGGCTTACAAAAGATCAGAGAGACTAAATCCTTAATGATGATCTCATTCGGTTTCTAGCGAGGGAGTGTTGATGTTTCCAAATCGTTTAACGCGGAGCGTGCCCATGAAACGCTCAAGAAATGAAAATTTATCCCTTACATTACTATATGCATTATTCTTAAATTTTCAATTTCGAATATTGCATTTACGTTATTCTGATTGGTTCACTCAACTCTGAGTTCCCTAATATGGGAATGCATTCCGCCAATCGTTGCGGAGCTGAAAAATTCGCCAAACGTTCAGGATTTAAAAAAAGAATAAAAACAATATAAAAATTATTCCATTCGCGCTTGTTGGATACGAGATTGGTTATGGTTGTACCATGGAATAATTCAGTGTTTAGTAATCTACAGTGCAACCTCGCTAATTTGGACTCTGTTAACTCGAACTCCCTGGCATTAAACTCGAACAAGATCCAATTTCCCTTGACCCATCTCTTCAGTAATTTACAATCAGCTAGTTCGAACCATTATTATTTTTCCCCTGAAGTTCTACCGAAGTTGATGGCTGTTAAGGTCGACAAAAAAATTACCTGCTGGCTTTTTCGATCCATATTTATGCTCCATAACTGTAACCAAAATCTCCTTATGGTCTTCACCAGCCTGACTATGAGCGCTGCACAGGTAGACTCCGCTGTCGTTTGACGTTACTCCCTTTAGAACCAATGTATCCTTAACGAAAATTCGCCCCTGTCTCGTCCATGTTATGTTTGGTGTAGGAAGTCCCTTTGCCTTGCTTTTTATACGCAAGTTGTCCCCAATGTTTATGGAAAAGTTTCTCTTTTTTGGACTGATTATTTTAGGAGAATCTGTTTAGATATTTGAGAGTTAGGTTTTTCTAAATTAGAAGTGAACGTCAGAGAAGGAAAGCCAACTAGTTGTCTCGTGTGTGACCGACCATTCCTTACGTATTTAACAACGAATGGTCCGTTTTAAGACTTCATATGGTTGATACAACAGAGAGTAACTGAGACCAGTTTGAGATTTCTTTTTACCGCTGGTCAAATGAGTCATTAGATCCTTTGCATATGTGAATCAAGCAAGAACGTAGACTGTAGAGTCATGGCAAGATCCCTGCACTTTGCAGCCAGGAGACGTTGCTGTGATACGATGAGAGGACAATCTGTGGCCTCTGAGGGGGGCGCGTTGCACGTATTAGGCTAATAGGGATGTGCCGCTAGCTGGGCCGGTTCGCATTTTTACGACTGGATTTATTAAGACAGGGTGACATTTTCAATAGGGTTATAAGAAGACGGTCACACATTTTCGGGAGGTTTGGTGCTAAGAAGATCCTAGTGAGTAACTCTAGGGATTTGCAAATGTGTCAATTAATTTTAGGATAACTCACTCGAAAGGGTTTATAAGGTAGATGTATAAACAGAGAGTTACTGAATTGGGATCGAGAAAATTACATTTGCTTAAAAGTGGCTAATATAGGATCTATAATTGGCCACTGAATGATTATGGGGTAGGGGTTCTGAGAGGCCAGCAGCACATACCCACAAATATTTACCCGAGTACCCTCTCACTCTGGGTCTGTGGCATCCCTATGCAAATGAAATATAAAAATATATTACCCTCGAGAAGAAGCTTTACAGGATCCGTCAAAGGAGACTGATGAAGACCAAGCTCCACCTGAAGACAGTAATCATTCTCGTCCTTCATGTTCAAATCATGGAGTATGAATGCAACTCGAAGATTGGTCATGTTAAAGTCGCAGCTAATTTTCTTCTCATAGTTTGGTCGTATTAGTACCTCACCATATCTATCGATGGCCAACAGTTTTGTTTTCAGGAATCCTGGAGGTTTCCAGATTCCAAACACTACTTCAAATATGCTACTGTTCCATGTCTCTGACGGAGGCAGTCCAAGCGTCCAGTTAAGCGTAGCTTTGTCTTCTCTACGGACAATCAGGGGATCGCTTGGTCCAGAAACAATTTTAGGATACCTTCCCTGGCACAATGCTTTACAATCGTCGAAAGAAATGAAACAGATAGAATGTTTTGGAAGACAAAAGGCCGTTGGAACTCACTTGAAGTTTAGAGTAATTAAGGGGGAAAATTCAGGACTTTGACCACCGACCGGTTTTAATTTGACTTATATTAAATTTCATTTAATTAAATTGTATTAAATACAGGGTGACCCCCTAATACGGTGCCAGTTATACAGGTTCGACTGTTTTCCTTTGTGTCATGATAATTATATCTTCACTAATTCAACTTCTTTCTCCCTCGTGAGAAATTGCCTTTAAAAGGACCTACTATGCTCATATTTTAGCAGTTTTACGATCATCCTTATTCAACTGTAACTGCCTTTTCGCTGTTTCCGCGCATTCCATCTCCAGTGACATTGGTGGTTCCAAGATTCCTTCTTTCCAAACACAGTAATCTCTTCCAAACTAGCTCCAGTCTCTCACAATATGAAGTTCGGCAACGTAAACACATTTAATGATATGCACAATTGTTCTAGTTTTTTCTCAGAAACACAGGATGTTCCCAATTAACTTAATTAGTCAGTTCTCAGAAATCAACGTTTTTGGTTTGAGTTCTTGCATATTTCTTAACTTTTCTTTAAAAGAAACAAAAAGAAACTCCTGAAATAATTCGGGAGGAAAACATCGCACGTTCGATAATTTATGATATTTTGGTGTACTTCTGCCACCAGCACCGCACAACCCGCTTCAAAGAGAGAAAATTTAGTACTCATTCAGGTCCACTTTTAGAAGCCGTATAGCTGGCTCAGTTTTCATGTTTCTGCTGTTGGTTCTATAGCCCTAATCTTAAAGAGGGGACATTTCAAACTTTATCGAATTGAGACTGTGTCACGATGTTGTTGTTCCTCGATCGGGGTACACAGTGAACTTCCTCCCCACTATAGTTTGTTCTAATATGTACCTTGAATCGAAATAAACGTGTGTAAGATCCTCGAGTCACTTATTATTCCTGTACACCATTTATCAGCTGCTTTTGATTCTGTTTCTCACGCTTGGATTCTGCTAGCAAGACGTCAATTTACGACTTTGACCTTTAATTATATTTCTCGAGTTACGACTCTGAAAGCGTAGACGTAGGTAAGAGTTCTACATCCCTGCGTGGTTTCCGCGTTTAATTAAACGTAGACTTTCTCACTTTTTTCGGTGAAGTGAGTTGGTTTTGAGATTATCTTCATCAATCAGCCAAGTGTGAATGATTTGAATGTAGAAATTATCATGTTTGTATGTTCAACGTACCTGAAAGCCACAGGGACATCAAAAGGAAAATCGAAAACATCTTGGCGAGTGTTTCTTGTTGACACTGCGCGGGAGAATAGTTTTCTCATTCAATGCGATTTTGAAATAGTTTAGTAAGAAATAATGGCTAGGACGTATTCAGTGATAAAACTAGATAGCCTTGAAACTTAACGACCAAAGTAAGTCAGTATCCAAACAGTGTGCATGCAGTGGATATCCATCATCAGGTTTTCTATATCACTTTCCATTATAGTCGTGTTTCCAAGAAAGCGAAAAAAACCCTAGCCAATCAGGAGGGACTTCATCTGGAACATCTGCAGTTGATTGTATATGAGAGCATCCTAGTGATTTGGGGCCTGTAGAAAACGTACTGAGGGTCAAAATACTATTCCTAGCGACTATATTTCTGCGAAATTTCGCCTAGATTTTAAGAATACCATTTGCAGATCGTAATTATTTGGTTATATACGTACTAAATATAAAACGGGATCTAATAAAACAGGCTTCCAGCTAGAGGGAATTTCGCGTTGCAACGCTTCCCAGCCCAAACAAACAACATTTTGATAATTTACATTTTAGAGTTTCGAAAGAAGATGGAGAACGGAAGAGAAGGAGAAGTAAGAAGAGAGGTTTATTACAAACTTGAAGTTCTCGCTTAGTTTCATATAGGAGAGTGGGGAGGCGGGGGAATGGGGAGGGGGGGAATGGAAACTATCAGTTTCTACAGCACCCTCGCAAAAATTATTAACCTTATAAGGCCCTATTATATGTAGGGGAAGTTTTTTTCTGTGCCCTATTTTAAAATTGTTTTCATTCTTCGTCATTTATTTTCTTTAATCTTTCTTAACAGTGCACTTCACCTCTTCCTCCGAAAATTTTTATCAAACATTTCCTGGTTTCTTTCTATTCTAGGCCTTCCAAGTATTCCTCCCTTTCCGCGTTAACAATGTGTCAGTTAGTTAAGCATATCTTAAGCTGCAATACAAAGCTGGAAATTATCCATTTGTTTGGCGAGACAGGCATAGGTTAGATTACTATTCTTTTACTCTGACCTCTTTATTCTAATGTCAGGATTTCTCAGAAACGGACACGTGGTGAAAATAATTGTTTTGACTCTGTGCCAAAAACGATCTGAAAGCATAACAACTTGAAATGTGTCTGAATTTAGAATATGAGCCACTATCTATAAAAAATATTTTGAGTCACCTTTTCGAATAGACTTTCTATTTCCTATTTGTACGTGGAAGGAAGACATAAAAAGTTTGAGGGCATTAGGCAGAGCGCCAGCTCGAGACTATTATACCCACAAATAAGATCGTTAATGTTTCTTCACACTCACTCCTTTTTTTAATTTCTGCCCTCGTTTTAGTCGTTTCCAAGTTCGACTCAGTATGTTGTAAGTCTCCGTTGACTACAACAGATCTTATTCCTCTGAAATTTACTGGTAGGGATCAGAACATTTAGCATTACAGAGAATTAACTTTGCGTCCGGTAAGTAACGCTATGCTGGTCTAACTTAAATAGAACGATTCGACTTGATTTATCAACTCTGTGAAACCTCTTCATTTTGGCGGTTGACAACATCCACGAATCTCAGATGGTTTAATGCTTAACTTCATTGCCCCCTTGAAATTTCCTTTGCTTTCTTTCTGGGTCATACGCTCCAAGATTTCCTCCGATCTTTTTCTTCTTAATCAAATCTTGCATTGTATCTGAAGAACGTATGCTGAAATAGGCTGTTAATAGGCTTGTTTGACTAACATATCATCTCGTTTAACCACGTCAGCCGGTTAACAGTATTTTTACGTAAGTGTTTTATTTTGCTAGCCTAACTGTTTTAACATTCAGCCCCCAGGGCATGAATAAGTCATTCACAACTATAGATGACATTGAAGCTCAAACCCTTAAATTCTCATGAATGTATTTTAAATAGAAGTCCAATGAAAAAATGTATTATTTATGAAAAATTATCAACTGGGTGGTATACGTACCCTGAATTACGGAATGGACTCAAATGGATTTTAACAGTTTGAAACGCGCATGACAAACAAACAATTCATGGCTCTTTAGATAGATGTATTATCAACAATTGGCGCTAAATAATTGTTATCTCTCATCCGTAACTTAACTTGTTAAAAACTTTCATGCAAAACGTCCAGATTCAAATAATGCCATCAGTCAGGCTGGTTGCGCGTGTATTGCCTTTTTATAGATAATTCGTCGGCATTCTGCGTGTATGGGCACGCTACTATACATGGTTTATAATCTATGATTTCTCCACTCACATAATAGCGTTGTGACAGAAAATGTGTTATGAATATTTTACGAATCATTGTCCTCTTTGAAAATCGATCACTCTGACTTGTAAAATGAGATTGCTACCATAACAGGCCGGACAACATAGCTAGTAGAATCTGGTATTGCCAGAACAGGTATACGACATCCACTCTGTCTTTTCCGTGCTGTAATTATAATTTAAAGCTGGACGAGACAAAAATATCATTTTACAAGTCAAAAAAGTTTAATTCATAACGCACTGGTATAATGTTCAGAATATAGTCACAGTTGTTTTTATGTTCCCTGTTACCATTAAAACCAACCGAGTGGGGTGATAAAAGTATGATATAACTTTGTGACTCTAATGATCGTTTGAATTCAAAACCAGAAATCGCTCATTTAAAGCAAAAAATCTCCAAGTATGTCCACTAGTCACCCTTCGTGAATTGCTTAAACCTTTTCTTTTTTATTCGATCCAGTCTTAACTCCCACTTCTCCCGGTAGCGAAGTTTAATTTTACAATTACATATACTATTCCCGGATTTCCCCCGCCAAAACTGTGACCCTCTTGTCCCATTTTTTTCTCTCAGGATTTGGCTACTGTTTTTTCCATGCATGGAAAAATGCCATTTGCTATAAAAGAAACCCGCAGAATAAACTCACTTTTAAGCGAGGTTTTAAAAAACCTCTCCGCAATAGTAAAAGCCGTTTTTTCAATACGCTTGAGGGATCTTAGATAGAAATAAATATTCCAATGGGCGGTAAACTTACTCGGCCGGCTAATCTTGGGTTAACTGTATCGTTACTCGTAGGGAGCTGTTCGCTTGGCCTATTTTCTTGTGTATGTAACACATGTGTCAGTGATACTGTCAGTACAGTTGTGTTCGTACCTCGCATATGTTTAACATCAGGTGCACCCTCTAGTTTCTGCACATATTATGTATTCAAGGTACTGTAGAAAGTACTCAGCTTACCTTTCTTATAGACTTTAATCCATAAGGTGTCTATTTTAGAGTCCAGTCCACGGTATACGGATATTAGGAAGCTTCCGAAATAAGGATCTGAGAGATTTCTTATTGCAACAATGACGTCACCAGATACATTCACAGTCATTGAGAAATGTGGCTTACATTCCTCTTCCGTGAAGAATCCGTCTTTGCAACATTTAAAATCTCCATTTTTCAATCTTGCCCGTGAAAGCATTGGAAGCATTGCTGATTCCCTGATAACATTCGTTTAAAATCGTGTTGTCCAAAGGACCATTTGATTGTAATGTTTCCAAACGGAGGCACCGTTGAGAGAAAAATAATCGCGATCAGCGATTCCTTGACCCTCCCGCTTCCAAGATCTCATTAGTAATTCTCCTTACTGTCTGCCATACAATTCTTATGATGTTAGTTCAGAGAAGTTGGGATTGGATTAACTGATAATCTCCTTGTTGATATTTTTCTTTTTTCCCATCACTTGTCTGTTTGATATTGTATTGATATTAAATTACTGTGAATGTATGAAAATCGTGCAGGTGAGCTGCTGGTAAAGAAATGAATATCAAAGCGATCTTCGCAGTAATGAATACTACTTGAGTAGTAGTGAAAATTAGGCTGAATAAAATTCAGGCTTGTGCGGTATTGAACCCATGACGTCTGCGATACCGGTGCGGTGCTCTACGAACTGAGCTACATGTAACACCTCAACTGGGAGCTGGTCATTACCAGGGCGTATTGATATTGTAAGAAGAAATTCTGTCTTGGTCACGCATGGCTTTTTAAGAGTTATAAAGCATTACTGGCTGAAAAAGGTACAGCTTTTTTCTGCGATTTTTTTTTTCCAATTTTCCTGTTTAACCTGACACAAATTTAAGACAGAAGCACTTATCACCAATCGTCAAATTATCAATATTAGAATCGACATACACTGGCTCCACTGCTCCTGTACAAATAACAAGAAGGAACATAGGAATTAAGGAATACAAGAAAAACACCAAAAACCATTGTAAACCCCCTCCTCCCAAAAATAAGAACGAGTGAAGTCAAGAAAACAATGATCTAAGACATCTAAGCATGGTGAAATCTATGAAGTTCGAAAAAAGTTTCCTAATTGCAAATTAAGAAATCTTTAGAAAAAGGTTTAGTCTCAAAACATCTCTTGGTCGTTTTTGCCTTGCCTTTTGACAAGAGATTTTTATAGTCTCCCGCCTTTAATCGTATTTTTCGTGTAGAACGTGATTACCAGGTAAACCTGACAGTTGTGATATCATCCTTTCTACGTGCACAATTTGTGTCCGCTAAGCTGTGTTGTTTGACTCATCTGGGGTGAACCGAGAAGCGTAAAAGAACAAACCAAAAGTACCGGTTGCGTCTCCATACTTTTGAAACTGAGATATCGTCACCACAGCTCGTTTGATTACCAGCGTTAACAGTGGATACTATCTATTATTCAATCTATGAATGAAGCAGATAATAAATATGAATTCGGGCGCATGCTAAGGATATGCCAGTCATAATTAGAATAATTAACAACATTGTGAGAGAAAAGATTATCGCCATTCGCGTTTCAGGAATCCTGGATCTTTCTAGATTCCAAACACCACTCCGAATATGCCACTGTTCCATGTCTCTGAGGGAGGCAATCCAAGCGTCCAGTTAAAGATTAGTAGGTTCCTCGTATTTCTACTTCCACGGTTCCTGATTTTCCATCATATTGTGTAAACCCTGTTAATGATATGCACAGACAAACTCGACAACTGGAAACGTCTTCGACAATTGCTTTTCCCAGAAAGAGCGGATGTTTGTCGAGCTATTTTCTCGGAAATGAATGACCTTACTATCCATCAAATATCATATTTCAGATGGTTTTCTTTATAAGTAGAAACCGAAAGCGACCATATTGAAAAACATATGGCCGTTTGATTATTTATGATGTGTCTGAGGCCATATGCAACACGGGCTCAAACCGCTTCAAAATTCAAATCCTTCGTCATCGATCTCAACTGTTTGTCAATTCTGTTTTTCAAATTTCTTTGTTGGGCCCCAAAATCTTTGCTCTCAGGATTGGAAATTCGAAATCTTTTACGTAATGATGACCGAGTTAAATGTGGTAAGTCACTCCATCTTCCATACAACAAACATTGAATTCCCTCCTCTTAGTAATCACTTTTACGTTCATCTTATGTAGTTACTCTGTTTCGAAATAACGAGTTGAAATCACATGACTTGTTTTTTTGTCTACGTTTACTATCAGTTAATGTAAACTTGTTTTTCGTGTTTAAATCAGGCTACAAATATCTATAATTACGGTATTTACTAGTTCAGGGTTCTGAAGAGTGGGCACTAGATATGTGCTGTACTTCCGTCTTTCTGCGTTCATTCGCTTCGGATCGTCGACTTCATCTTAATTGTGTTATGAGTTACATTGCAGACGGTCGCAGTCACTGAAAAGGAAATATCATTTCATTAATTGCTGACAGTGTCAACTTTGTGAGAGCCGCAGAGACATGATGAGAATAGCTGAAATCATCGTCGGCTTTGCTTTTCGTTCGACACGAAGGTCTTGTGAAATTTTCAGCCAATCTG